ACCCTAAACCCTAAACCCCCCAGACCGCAACTCCTCCACCCACCCGGCTTAGCGCCTCCCAAATTCGCAGCGTTTCGTCGGAGGATGCGGTCGCCAGGTATCGGCCGGTAGCCTAATGCAGGTTGACGGCTTTAGGGCTTGGGGTTTAGGGTTTGGGGCTCAGAGTTCAGGGTTTAGGGTTTAGGGCTTTAGGGCTTAAGGGTTTAGGGTTTGGGGGTTAGGGTTTCGGGTTTAGGGTTTAGGGTTTAGGGTCTTAGGGCTTAGGGGCTGAGTGGTTAGGATGGAGTGGTTGGGGCTAGGGTTTAGCGTCACGGGTTCAGGCTTTAGGGTTTGAGCTTGCGCGGGACTTGCGAGATTTAGGTGGAGCATGAGCGCTTTGGGATTTCTGGTGGGTTTTTTGCAGCTTAGGGGAGTTGGACTCCTACACCCCATGTACCCTGAAGTTCAGGGTACGTATTGTTCAGGGCCTGAACCCTCAGTCCCAACCTCAGCAACACTTTCCTTTGGGGAATGCCGTAGATCTCCTTCAGACATCCGCAAGCCCAACACCACCTGCTTAAATTTTAAACACGGAAACCCTAGGTCTTGTACCAAGCTTCCTGGCCACGAACCCTCCACTTGCAAGCTTCACGCTTATGCCTTGCTCTTAAAATCACTTTTGGGGAAGGGGCTTAAGGGTTCTGGGCTGGGCTACTGTGTTGATACTAAATGGGCAGAAGGACTCATTGTCCCTTCAGCACCAGTATCCTGAAGTGCCAAACTAAGCCGGCACAGAATCGAACCGCTCAACTGGAAGCAGTTAAACGCTGGAACGTCCCACCTGTGACTAGCATGAGCCACAATGACGGTAGGTGTGCCCTGAACCCTAAATTTTGGCCCTATAGATGACAACCCCAAACCCCTGCCCCTAAACCCTGAACCCCAAACCCTGACCCGAGCACCCCTGCAAGGCCTCGACAGCCACGGCTCTTACCATACCAGAGTGGCCCTCGTATGCCACGGCGATGTGTGTCGGGAATGGGCGAAGGTCCTGCTGCGTGAATCGGAAAAGGTCTGGGCCCAGAATGTCCTGTGTACACCAAGCCTTGCGGAGACTGGCTTTGGTAGTTAGTTAGAAGTGTGTTGGGTGGGTTTATGTTACAGTTGAAAGTTATAGTGAACCCGAAGGAACAGTATTGCGAATTATTCCGGGAGGTCTCTATATTGCATGAACGAAAGTCTGCGATTCAGGGGCGACTTTGAAAAAAACTCGGATGGCTCAGGCCGGCTTCGTGTAACAGGACCGTCCTTGTACCCTCAAATATGGGTACTATGGTCCCAAATAATGGGTATTTAGGGTCTAACTGAAAGGTAGATGAAAGGTCAAAGGTCTAGGTAAGTTCCCTAACCCCAAACTCCCGAACCCCAGAAAATCTGAAGCCCTAAACCCTAAACCCTTAGGGGTGCTCCAAGGCAAAGTTTAAACGCTCAAGAGCCGCGCCAAGCAAATCTAAGACCTCCTGTATACCCATAGGCCCCATAGTAGTTCCTGTTTGGGGTTCATATTTAGAATCCTATAAGGTAATCCCAAAAAGGCACTACTATGGGGCCTATGGGTAAGCAACAGCGGCTCCACCGTATCCATCCAAAGTTCGCGTTGCGAAAGCATTTCCGGCGTGGTGAGATGCTTCGAGCTCTTTCGATATCGTCTCTGCTGTGATCTCAAAGATTTTTAGAGTGTCTTTTGATGCGAAATCCTCTACCTCCCTCGCGGTTGATCTCGAAATATTTAAACCCTAAACCCATAAACCCTAAACCCCTAAACCCCAAACCCTAAACCCCCAAAAGCGAGTTCCTGCTGCCAAGGTGTCTCCGGTCCGCCCAAAGACTGGTGGATCGAAAGCTAAACCCTAAACCCTAAACCCTAAACCGGTGTCATGCTCGTCATCCGGCTTCTCGCTCCGACAGCTGCTTCCATGTTGAGTAGATTTAGGGTTTAGGGGTTTAAGGTTTCGGGGTTTCGGGGTTTCGGGGTTTCGGGGTTTCGGGGTTTAGGGGTTTAGGGTTTAGGGGTTTAAGGGTGCAGGGGTTTAGGGTTTAGGGGTTTAGGGTTTAGGCTTTCTCGCCCGAAGTTCGCGACAAGACTCTTCCTGAGTCTCGCTCGCTTTGGACATCGGAGAGCTTGCGAAATCTGGCACGCAGATTGAACGTTCAGAATGCCCCCCAAACCCAAAATCCAAAACTCCAAGCCTTCTTCCTGAACCCTATGGACTATGGAATCCCTCAAGAAGCCCTTATGAAACCCCTAATGTCACCACATGTTACTCCCAGATCCCACCCTAAGCCCTAAACCCCAAATCCTAGCCCCAAATCCTCTACAAAGCCCTACAGCCTAAGCCGCAGACTATAAATCTTGGGTTTAGGGTTTAGGGTTTAGGGTTTAGGGTTTAGGGTTTAGGGTTAACCCCTAACCTCTAAACCCTAAACCCTCAAGCCCTAAATGCTAGCTGCCGGACCTTAGGGCTCGGAAGCTTTGGCAGCAGGCTCTCCTCGGGCGGAGCAGGATTTGTTTCTCTCAGGATCTGCTTGAGGATTGAACCCTAAACCCTAAACCCCTCCCTAGACCCTAAACCCTAAACCCTACATCCTAAACTCTAAACCCTAAACCCTTTTGAGGGATTTAACCTAGGCTTTGGGGTCGAAGAGGGATTTAGGGGTTTCCGAAAATAGGGGACCCCAAAAAAGGACCCTAAATAATAGGATCCCTATCATAAGGACCCCAAAATAAGGCACACCTTATTGTCGGAAACTCCCATTTAGAGCTCGGGGGCTTTCGTGAAGGTCTCGGGCTGCTCCGGGTTTCGGGGTTTGCTGCCATGGTGGGTTCGAAGGGTTCAGGGTCTTAGGGTTTAGGGTTTAGGGTGTTAGGGTGTTAGGGTTTAGGTTTCTGGGTTTGCTGCCATGGTGGGTTTGAAGGGTTCAGGGTCTCTAATGTAGGGGCTTAGGGTTTGGGGTTTAGGAGGGGCCTCAATGATTAGAATAGGGTTTGGGGTATACTATGCTATAATCATAACAAGGAGCCCCCAAACCAGTATTGGAAATTGTTTCGGCCCCTATATTAGGTGAGACAGGCCTTAAGCTTTGGAGTTGGGAGTCTCCGTCGAACTATGAATTCCTCATGTTTTTTTTGGTTTAGGGTTCCCAAAACCCTCAACTCTCAACCCTAAGCTGCGTCGTGCAATGGCGGATATGCATGGAGTGTATCGTTGACATTGAACTCGTACTACATGGCAGAGGTTGCACACTAATACAGGGGCCTGAATAGTTAGAACAGGGTAGTATAATTATAGTAAAGAACCCTCAGGAATAATGTTGGTAAGTATTTAGGCTTCTATAGTATGGGCCGCACCACGAGTTAGCCGACCCTAGGCCCTCCAAAAGCCGGGCCGTTCCTTGGGCCCATGGGGCGGGCAGGTGCGATCGAGTCGCCGCGGGCTGGTTTGGGGGGGGCCAGGTTCTGCTTAAAGTTAAAGGGAACTACAGGGGGGGAGTTCAGGGTATATAGGGCTTCTATAAGGCTTCTAGAGGTATATAGACCTTCTATAAGGCTCCTATAACGGTAACTCCCTAAACCCTAAACCCTAAACCCTAAACCCAAAACTCTAAACCGACGGTAACTACCCACCTGAATCGTCCTAGACAAAGGTCTCTTCTGGTGCGTCCTGTTCCTGTACATACCAAGTGTTCCAGAGAAGGAAACCCAAGGGGCCCCGAAGTGTAAACCTAAGCCCAAAGGGCTTAGGGTTTAGGGTTTAGGGTTTAGGGTTTAGGGTTTACTCTACCCGAACATGCATAGAACTCCCAAAAGACTGTCCTACTAGAACGACCAATAAGCTCCACAAGGTATCCCGCGTTTGAAGAAACCGCCTTTCCACCCTACATCGTAGATGTGGCAACCGCTCGTCTCGACCTTGTCAAACTCCATTCGGGCCCTTAACATCCCAAAAAGCAGCTGCGAGAATGTGTTAGGGCCTCTCCGGCCCTTCGCAAAATATACCAAGGCTCAATAGGGTTTAGGGTTTAGGGTTTAGCCGCGTGGAAAGGTTTGAACGACTGACTCAACACCTCACGTTGCGGTCGCTAGGTTCACGGGGTCCTACAGTTTAGAATATTCATTGGGTGCCCCTGCTTTCGGAAACTCCCATGTGCACGACAGAACGAAACCTCAACAACCCTAAACTCTAACACCCGAAACCCTAAACCCTGAACCTTAAACCCTAAACCCTAAAACCATGAAAACTGCAAAGATCGAGAAGCTGGATCCACGTTCATCCGCTGCTTCAAGGCACGGGGCACCAAGTACAGGTCCAGACACCTGAGGATGGCGAATGTGGGTTTGGGGTTTACGGTGTTGTAGGGGTTTAGGGTTTAGGGGTTTTGGGGTTTAGGGCTCAGGGTGTAGGCACCTTAAGGAGTCTAGGTATATAGGGTTTAGGAGTGCAGGGCTTGGGGCTTACCCAACCCTAAACCTTAAACCCTAAACCCTAAACTAAACCTCTATTAATGCAGGCCCAAATACCCTGAGCAGGGGCCACAGAGCAGGGGACCACAGTACAGCGAGGTGTCAGGCTCTGCTTTCTTTGTGCGAACTGGTCGGCTTTCTGGTTTCTACTGTATAAACCCGAAGCCCTTAATGTAGGGGCATAAATAATTACATATATTATTTTGGGGGGTTCCTTATTAGAAATAAAGCATTATGTACCCCCAAACCCTATTGATAAACTTTTGAGGCCCCTACATGTAGAAGACTTAATAATTAGAAAAGGGTTTTGGGGCCCAAATTATACTATAGTTATAATAAGGACCCCCCCCCCCCAAATAGTATAGGTCAGAAATTTAGACCCTTATACTAGCCCCTAAACACTAAACCCTAAACCTTAAACCCTAAACCCTAAATTCTAACCCTAAACCCAAAACCCTAAACCCTTGAACCCTAAACCTTACACCTTAAACCCTAAACCCTATAAACCCTAAACCCCACAAGACCCGACTCCGCCCCTGCCTCTTGAAGCGTTCCACGATGAAGTCCTTGTAGCCCGGGACGCGACGAAGCGCGTCGTACTTTTGAGGCAGATGCGTGATGGCCCTCTCCTGGCTTCAAGCAGGACATACGAATAAGACTGGGTTTAGGGTTTAGGGTTTAAAGGTTTAGGGCTTAGGGTTTTGTTTTTTTTATAGGGTTTAGGGCCCAACCTGCTTGAAATACCAAAGGGACACTGCATTCGATTCCATTCTCTCACCCCTAAACGACACATCCCCAAATCCTGATTCAAACGAGTCACCCCTACCAGCGGGCAGTTCCGGGGAAGGGGGGAGGGGGGGGTTCAGAAAAAGGTGTTCTTTTCCTTTTGCTATCCGCCCAAGTGAAGCCTCTAGCAAAGCCCAAGCGAGCAGGCGTGTGTAGCCGGATTTTCCATCAGCCCACGCAGAAAGAGCCCTCTCAACCTGTCACCCGTGTTCTGCAGACCCCACACCGCTCGCCCTCCTCAAAGACAGCCACCACATCCCGCTTAAAGGGTTTAGGGTACAGCCTCTAAGACTTTCCAACCAAGCCGAAACCCAGAAAGCCCAAAACCTGCCTCCACACGACAAGTGCCCTTCAATCCATGGAAGCCAGGGTAGTCCGGGGTTTAGGCAATTCTAAATCTTTAGGAGAAGCAGCAGGTCCTCTTCGAATGTCTCTTCCCATTCCTTTTTCTCTTCCTGACATGTCGGTAGTTCTCTAAACCAGGGTGCCTTTCTAAGTCCCCAAAGCAGTACGGCACCCTGCTTTGGAGAATTGCCCGTGTCTGATTCGAGCTAAAGCTTGAGAGCGGGCTTCCTTATAGCTCTCTCACATATATGTATATATACAGATAGATTGATAGATAGATAGATAGATAGCTAGTCTCTAGTGTAGTCCCCTCTTTTGGTTAGCCAAGTTCTAAAGATATGTTAAGGCTCTAGAATGTCAAATAGGTTAACCAAGAGGGAACTGCAATGAAGACTTCAGGTAGCCCCAAACAAATAAGAATTGCAGAGACCTTTCGATACCTATTAGCGCATGTCTAGCCCCATGCCTTGCAACATCGTCCTGCAGCAAGAAGTAGGGCCTCCGGCCCCTAAATGCAACAGCTCCGTTCTTGCACACTTAAAATCCTGAACAAGAGCAACTGTATATTAAATTAGGAACTTGATCAAACTAAATGTAGAAGCCTTAATAAGAATAGGGTTCTGCGGGTTCCTTATTATAGTTTTTTGTATACTATACCCCCAAACCCTATTCTAATTATTCAGGCCCCTATATTAGGGGGAGGGAGTTCTCAGTGATGAGCAGATCCAGCTGGCCCTTGCGCTTCGGGTCTTCAGGGCTCGGGGGATGAGCGCTCCTGTTTGGGGTGTGTGCTTTTCTTACCCAGAGGGTTTAGGCTTTCTTTTTGGGGGTTACCTTACAGGATCCTAAATACAAGCTGCAAAATGGAACTACAAGGGCGCCTATGGGTAGAGCTTCGGAGGATTGCAGCAAGGGATTGGGTAAGCAAACAATGACATACGAGACGACTGTAGCATGTTTTGTTTTGTACTGGAGGTAGCACCGGGCTTCCAAAACTGATGCGAATTACAGGTGCCCTCTAGTCTAAGGTAGAACCCATGGGCCCCTAGTATGGGCTCTTAACCCTGGGACCCTAATATACCTACTATATACCCTACTTCAAGAGTCGGTTCCAATCCCTCTTGTCAATCTGCAGCACACGAAGTCGGCAGACGTCAAAAGCAGCTGTTTTCCATGAGCGCTGCGATTTGGCTCGTGAATCCCTCCCTTAAGCAAAGCGGCCGGTGCAAGAAGAAAGTGAGCAGTTGACAACTGCTCTCGCTGAAGAAAGGACCTGGCAGGTTCTTCACACCCTATATATACCCTTAAGGGACCCTAGAATCCCCTAAGGGCCCATGGGTTCAACCTTAGATCTAGGTTGTCGGGAACTGCTGTTACTCAACCCTCATTACGTCTTACAGCCATACGAAGAAAATACCTGCGAGAAGCCATGTCAGGGAGCACCCTAACCCCTATAAACCCTAAACCCTAAACCCTAAAACCGTAAACCCCAAAGCCTCCGTAAAGAGGTATTCTGGCGGCGGGTTGTAGGACTCCGCATGGCCCGGCAAAGCCATCTTCGGAGCAGGCAAAGGCGGTGGCGCCTGAGCTTCGCAAGGTCTTGGGGTTTAGGATTGAAAGTTTACGGCTTGAGAATCATTTGGTTTAGGTGTAGGGTTTAAGAGTTTAGGGTTTAGGGTTTAAAAGCTTTCGTGGTCGAACTATTTATTGCATCCGCCCCTTCCGCGAAGCAAATGTAAGGCCCATAAGCGAGGAGATAGGGTTTAAGAGTTTGGGTCTCATTGTTTCTTACAGGGGTCTACGGTATAGGGTTTCTGTACTTTAGTCGTTCATGTTTTCATGGGGGGTCCTGCTTGTCTCTCTCTTCTCTAAAGGGGTTTGCCTTTAGGGGGTTCAGCTTGTTTGGGTGGCTTTTGGGCTTGATTGCTGTCACAGGGTGTTGGTTATGCTTGGGGGCTTTGATGTGTTTCTTGCAGCTCAGGGTTTAGGGGTTTAGGGTTTAGGGTTTCGGTTTTAGGGGTTTAGGGGTTTAGGGGTTTGGGGGTTTAGGGTTTAGGGTTTAGGGGTGTAGCGGTTTAGGGTTTCGGGATTTAGGGTATAGGGGTTTAAGGGTCTTAGGAGTTTTTGGGGGTTTGGAGGCTTCGGGTTCAGGGTAGTTTAGAACCCTGCACCCTAAACACTTCTGAAATCCTAAGCCCAGTAGGCTACTTTGTGGACGCCCAGGCCCAAAATGCTGCGTAAATATGATGGCTTCATAAGACAAAGAGGTCTGGGTTCTGTGTGTTGGATCTGTCTGTCTGTATGTACCTACGTACGCATGTATGATCATGTATGTATGCTCGGGGGTAAAGGGTTCTGGGGTTTGAAACCGTCTTGTACCACGTCCCCAAATAGGGAGTGGTCTTCTGGGCCACTGTCATCCACTGTCAGCGTCCATCCTAAACCCTAAACCCCTAAACCCCTAAACCCTAAACCCTTAACCCTTAACCCTAAACCCTAAACCCCTAAACCCCTAAACCCTAAACCCTATCCCTAACACCTCCGTAAGCCCAAGACCGTAAACCCTAAGCCTTCAACCCTGAACCCTAAACCCCTAAACCCGAAACCCCTAAAGCCCTAAAGCCCTAAACCCTATAAGCCCTAAATCCTCGTTTCCCCTCGGCTCCGGGCGCGACGCCGGCGCGTCTCCGGCTCGTCCGCCCAGAGGTCGAAGACTTCGGGGGCTGGAGGTGGCGGAGGCCTGGAGGTTCGAGAGTTCGAAGGTTAATGGTTTACCTGGGATCCTAGAAATAATGGTTCAGGGATTTAGGGGCTTAGGGTTTAGGGTTTTAGGGTTTCGGGTTTAGGGTTTCATGTAGGGGGTCGAAAAATTAGAATAGGGTTTTGGGGGGTCCCTTTGAAGGGTTCTTTAAAAGGTTCTATAAAGGCTACTATAGGGGTTTAGGGCTTAGGGGCCTGAATAATTACAATAGGGTTTTGGGGTATATTATACCGTGATTATAATAATGAACCCCCCCAGAATAGTATTGGTAACTAGTTAGGCTTCTATATTAGGTGGGCTTGATAAGTATAGAGGATCTCGGGTCGATAGTTGCGGGGGAGTTTTGAGGTTTAGGGTTTGGGGTTTAGGGTTTAGGGTTTAAGGGTTTTCGGTTTAGGGTTTAGGGTTTAAGGGTTTTCGGTTTAGGGTTTAGGGTTTAGGGTTTAGGGTCTAGGGTCTCGGCATGGAGGGTTTGCGGGCTTAGGGCTTGCAGGTGTATAGCCTGTAAGATTTGGCAAGTTCGATGAGCCCTAAACCGTTAACCCAAAACCCCACACTCTCAACCCTAAACCCTAGGTTGCGGCGTAGGGGTTTGCAAGGCTTATGGTGCGAGGAACGAGGCCGTGCTAGTTGAGCGGGCTTGAAAACTGTAGGATTTTATGTAACAGTGGGTTTACGGCCCGGGCAGATTGAACAGAATTTCTTTTGCTCTAGGCTGATTATGCTTCGGGCTTTGTCAACTCCAGTATCGAAGAAAAACACACGCCGAGGTTTTGGGACCCTAGCTTCTTATGGAAGTACTTCAGAAGTATATCGGGGCAATATGTAAACATTACTTGTGACACTGCCCTCTAATTTTCTCTCGCTGCAAATCCAAAGCCCTACACCCTAAAACCTCGACGGCCTAAACGCTGAACACTAAACTCTCAAATAAATAGACATCGTGTGTCTTCACGCAGCCCAGCCCTAATCACTAAAACGGGCTGGCCTGATCTTGCCCTCTCGGAGCAGCGCGACAAGTCTCTTCACCTCGCAGCCGCTTTGGAGTGGAGGGCATTGGGTGTAGGGCTTTGGGTAATAGGCTCAGGCTTTAGGGGTTTGGGGTAGTTCAGGGCTTCCGGAAATTAGGGCCGGCCCGTTTGATAAGGATCCCGGTGTCAAACCCTAAACTGCCCTAAAACCCTAAACCCTAAACCCTAAACCCCTAAACCCTAAACCCTAAACCCTAAACCCCTAAACCCTAAACCCGAAACCCTAAACCCGAAATCCCTAAACCCTGAAAGCCTCCTTGTCCGGAACTCCACTATGGGCCCTGTGCCCTCCTGCGAGTCCAGGGCTGCTGAGTTTGGCGGAGACTGCTATGATTGTGCGTTGGGCTTAAGTTAAGATATAGATGTTACTAGGAGGTTAAGTAAGTTAGCTAAAAAGTTAACATAAGTTAACATAAATGCCGAAACGGAGAAACAACAACAATGGAGACGCAAGGTGGTGTGGGTGGTGTGGGTGCTGT